TTTTTTTTCAATAAATATTAATGTTAGCCCGCGACTTTGTTCCAGTTTTGAATTTTGGCCCACTGTGTATTTGAGTTTGACACCCCTGCTTTAGAAGATCCAAACAGATCAAACAAGAAAAGGTTTCTTGGTTCAGCTGAACTTCCTTCTGTGTCACTTCTATTCTTAGTATCAGTTATTGTGTGAGTCTCTTCTTTATAACGGAAACAAAAGGTGACGCATTTAGGTCCATGACTTAAACTGAAAAGCAAGTGTCATAGTAAAAATCAGAATCATTATTCAACAGATATAGTTCTATTGTTTTTAAGATCCATGTTTTTTGTTGTTTTTATGGCATTTTGATTTTACCTTTCCATTTCACAAACTTTATTAACACAGTTTCAAAATCAGACAAAAAAACACATAAAATCAGAGTATGAAAAAGTTATATTTATTACTGTAAAAACCACCAACATGTTTAACAAATAATTTTCTTAACTTGGAATGCAAATAGAAATTGTATGTTTTAAAAACTTATGCACAAGTTTTGCAAACAACAAAGTTATATGCAACTATTTACCTAAAAATACAGCCAATGCCACAGCCATTTTTTAAACCATTTTAAATTATTTAGAGAGCAATCAGGTGTTTTGCATCAAATAGGATTCCACAAAAATTATTTGTGCCACTCCAAAAAACAGTTTCTGTCCTCTATAAGACATAGTAAAACATCACAAGCCTGATACCTGCAGGCCTGAAAGCAGGAGGTGTATCACTGCTATTTTCCACCTGGATGCACACACACATGTACGAATACACATACATCCATAAATATTAAATATATGTAAGTATGTAATATGTAAATATATGTATACATACATATGCATACACATATATCCACACATCCATACATGTATAAGATGCATTATGCTTGAGGTGGTTTACAGCTGAGGTCAACTTTGGGCCGTCAAAGTGACTCATACATATAAAATAATTACCACGTGCATCTTTGGCCAGTTTCTACTAGAGGTGGGAATCACCATACATCCCACGATACGATATTATTGCAATTTTTTAAAAATATTTTGCGATATTCAGATTCTGTACATAAAGGTAAACTTTATCAATATTCATTTTATCTAATAACAAAGTCTCACACTCAGTCTTTCTCTCATTTCAGTCAGTTTTATTGTTGACAAACTGAACGGTTTGTATTACAGTCTAGTCCAACTTAACTGAATGCAACCATCTGGTACAATTATAGCTATTCTGAACTATGCAATTTGTGAAAACTATGCAGCCCCTTCAGCAACTGACGAATTTGAAAGTAAATTAAAACAAAATATAACTTTACATTAAATAAAAAAACTTTTAAACTTAATTAAAATAAATATGTCTTAAATTAAAATAAGTAAACTCATGTTTATTGCTGCCAAAAAAAAAGTTAAACATTCTTGCTCAGAAAAAGGAGCTGATCAACATGCTCTGAAGTCAGAGCATGTTCCAGTCCACAAAAACTTTTTTTGTAACAAAATATCGATTTCTGCTGTCCCTGTATCGATACATTATTAGCAAACAAAATATCACGATACTACACAGTATCGATTTTTTCCACCACCCCTAGTTTCTACCAACCACATATTACAAACCTTTCAAAATGGAACACAACACTATCAAAGTTAAACCAAACCAGTTTAGTCCAAAATATTAGATTTCAAAACAACAGCTGTGTATCAACAGGTGCTCACATAAAAGTAGTGTGAGATATGATACAAACATAGATAATAACCAATGTTGGAGAGTAACGGAATACATGTACCAGCGTTATGTATGTAAAATACAAAATATGAGTAACTGTATTCTGTTACGGTTACCATTTAAAAAGGTGATATTTAGAATACAGTTAGTTTGTTGAAATAAATGGATTACACAGCTGTTTTGTCCTGTTTCATATGTCAGGCTATCCCCTTTATATTTTTGGTAATTCCACGCTGGTGGAAACCCAAACAAGACTCTAATGCCTGGGTCTCAAACTCGCGTGAGGGAGGGAGAAAAAAAACGAGAGTCGAAAAGTACGAGGTGCTACCAACAAGAAATGAGAGACTGAAGCATGTAAATATAATAACCACTGCAGCCAAAAAGAGTGCCTGATGAGCCCAGTAAGCTGTTAAGACTAGACTGTACACTGTGTTCATGTTTTCCTCCGAAACAAAGTTCAATTGGAACAGCCTTTCAACACCTCTTTCTGTCTCTTGCTAGCAAAGTTGACCCAGAAAGTAAAGCTAGTTAGCTGCTACAGTCACGGAACCCGAGGTATTAGCCAGCGGTCTCTTTACTAGGGTTTGAGATTGTCAGCGCATTGTGGTGTGGAGAGAAGGAAGAGAGGACCCAAACGGAGGACTCACAGATTAGTGAAGGATGAGGATGGTGTTTATTATAAATGCAGGATGAACATAACATAATAGAGATTCTGATATTGACTGACTGAATGGCTGGCTAACTGAACTGGAAAAAACACACACGGAATCGACGATGACAAGATAACTAACTGGCGGAAAGTACGGACTTAAATACTCTGGCAAATGATGACAATTAGAGACCAGTGAGTACACAGCTGAATATAATCTAACTAATAACACAGTAAGAAGAACTACACATAATGCACATAAACAGAAGGTTGACACAGTTAAACAGCAAACATGAAATCTAAACCGTGACAAAGTCTAAAACTGAAAACACTGGGTCAATGATCCAGGAATCCTGGCAGAGTACAAAAAGAAAACATTTTTCATTAGCAGTCAAAAACTAATGTGTACAATTATAGCAGAAAAGCTGTCACGTGTCTGGTCAAAAGAGAGTATTAATGTATTTATTTGGTAGTTCACGTTTGCAGTTTTGTCTTGTAATACAATATTTGAAATGAAAAAACAAACAAACAAAAGATCATATTTTAGGAATTGGTTGTGGGTGTTTTCTTGTTTATTTGTTTGGGGTTTTTTTGTACTACCTGAACACTAAAGTGGCCTTCCAATGACATGACAGTGTCAGAAAAGGCCCACAGCTCATTTAAGTTTGAGACCTCTGCTCTAATGTAAGCGTCCTCTTAAAGTTGGTGGTGTCAGTTACACAGTGGACCTGGAAATTCTGACACTATGTCACATTTAAAAAACAAGGCATGGGCAAATGCTGACTGTGCAATGCAAACTCTGTTTGCCAGCAACCAAGCTGCTCTCAGTGTCAAAAAACTCCACCTCCAACCTAAAGAAACATCTGGAAATACGTTTTTGTTTTTTGTTTTTTTGTTTTTTTAAACTAACGTTAGCTTACTGCAACTACCTTGTTTTAGGTGTGGTAGCTACCTGGGTTATGTGCCACTTCAGTATCTTCAATGTACTATTGCTGTGTAATTTATTACTATTACTGAAGGCTACTCACCACCAAGCTAACATTGTTAGCTGGCGTTAGCTGAGGTTAGTTCATAGACTGTCAGACTTGATGGATAGCATTAACAACTTGCTAGCTGCAAATAATCATGTGCAGTTCTGAAAGTAGACAAAAAGAAAAAAAAATTACTGATACAGAAATAGTTTTCTATATAAGATCACTGCAAAAAGTGCAGCCTTACCCAATGTCCACCCTACTGTTACTCATTTTATATTAAGATTTAATAATCTAATTCACATTTGGTATGGAGAGTAGCCTTCAGTAATGGTAATACATCACACAGTAATAATACATTTTTGTAGTTGTAAAAAGCATTACTCCCATTGATTAATGTAATGGAATACATTACAAATTACATTTGGGGCCATGTATTCTGTAATCTGTAGTGGAATACATTTTAAAAACAACCCTCCTAACACCTATAATAACTTGGCAAATAGTTCTGATTGCATTAAGACTCATGTGATCTCAAGCACTGTTGAGACCGAACCAAAGCAACATGAAGAAATGTCCATCAAATGTCAATCAAAAGCCCACAAATAATAACATAATGATGTCAGATAAAGGTGGTAAAGGTGCACACCTTTAAAGTTGTGAGACAAACTCTGTTTTTCTTGTCCATATGGAAACACAGAAACTGAGCTTTCAAAAGTCTTCAGCCTTCCTAGAAGGATTTTTAAAAATAAAAAAAACCCTTAGTATTCAGTGATCCAAACACTGTTTATATTGGTTAAAGAGCCAAAACAGTCAGAAAAAGCTACATTTACCAAATGTACCTGTTAATGTAGTCAGAGACACATAAGCTCTGCCACCAACATTTTGTAAAAATGAAACTTAGCATGTAGCATGTTTTCCTATATGCCTTTTCAACTGTACCGAAGAAGTGAATTTTTTCCCACAGACACTGCAACAATGTGGCTTTTCATCTGTGTGGCCTCCCATGTGTCTTTTCAAACTTGACATATGGGTAAAACCATTTCCACAGGCACCACAACAATACGGCTTCTCACCGGACTCTCGTGAATTTTCAAGTTTGTGAGGGAACTAACACTTTTCCCACATGTACTGCAGCAATGTGGTTTCTCACCTGCGTTGGCTCTGATGTGGGCTCTCCAGTACTTGAGACAACTAAAAACTTTTGCCACATGTGCTACAACGATGTGTTTTTTTACCTGTATGAATTGTTATGTGACTTCTCAAAGTTGTTGCCACACTAAATTGTTTCCCACAGGTGCTACAGGAATATCTTTTTTCACCTGTATGTAATTCCATGTGTATTTTAAAAGATGCTTTATGATTAAATCCTTTCCCGCATGTGCTACAGGAATATGGCTTCTCACTTGTATGAATTCTGATGCGAGTTCTCAAAGCTCCTGCCACACTAAATCGTTTCCCACAAGTGCTACAGGAATATGGTTTCTCACCTGAATGAATTCTTATATGACTTCTCAAAGTTCCTGCCACACTAAATTGTTTCCCATAGGTAATACAGGAATTTGACTGCTCACCTGTATGAATTTTTATGCGACTTCTCAAAGCTGCTGCCACACTAAATCGTTTCCCACAGCTGCTACAGGAATATTGCCTTTCCCCTGTATGCAATTCCATGTGTATTTTTAAAGATGTCTTGTGATTAAATCCTTTCCCACAAGTGCTACAGGAATATGGTTTTTCACCTGTATGAATTCTTATGTGGGCTCTCAAATTTGCTGCTACACCAAATCTTTACCCACAGGTGCTACAGGAATATGGTTTTTCACCTGTATGAATTCTTATGTGGGTTCTCAAATTTGTTGCTGAACTAAATCTTTTCCCACAGATGCTACAGAAAAATGGCTTTTCACCTGTGTGAATTTGCATGTGTCTATTTAAGTGCGACTTTGAACCAAATGTTTTACCACAGGTGCTACAAGAATGAGGCTTATCATCTGTGTGAATTCTCATGTGTTCATTTAAATGTGTTTTTAGAGTAAATTTTTTCCCATAGGCGCTACAAGAATGCGGCTTCTCGCCTGTGTGAATTTGCATGTGTTGTTTCAAGTTTCCCATGCTATTAAATTTTTTCCCACAGGTACTACATAAATGTACTGTCTTGGAATTTTGAACTCTCAGTCCTGCTACGACTTCATCTGACTTTTTTCTGTGTGAGTTATCATCCTTGTTTTCGTCCTGATCTGTCTCAGGATAGTTTTGAGAAAGTAGCTGTTCATTGCTTGTCTTTACAGTCACATTGTGGAGGATCTGAAGGGACAAAATGATAATATCAGAAAAACATAAATTGGATCAACTGTAATGTAACCTCAACAATTAGCAGGTCCTTACATGGTAAACATGGTTCTCACATGTACCAGTAAAAGGTATGTTCTGGGGAGAAGCTGTTTAGCTGACTCAGTGATAGACATTTTGGAAATCTAATTTACGCAAATAAAAAGATGATCATGCATCAGGTGAGATTTAAAAACAGGACAAAAATTTTGCAGTAAAAAACAGATTCTCAGACAAACTGTAATGCTTCTAAATAAATATTACTGCTGTGTTTTCTGTGTTACCAGCTGACTATTGACTCTTTTCAAGTCAATGTTATTGATACAGCACCAAATCACAGCAACAGTCGCCTCATGGGGCAGCTGATCAAGCCTCATCGGAGGAGCTGCTTAAGAGTGTGGTGGAGCTCTCTCCGATGCTGGATCATTGCGTGGCTTCATGTTAGTCTCTTGGCCAGTTAGTAAGTTTAATCTGCTTGTCAAAGGAAAATTGTTATTGTTATTTTCCCAGGAGAAGTGTGGAGATGAGCGGGCAGCGAGCACGGGGTGCTCAGACACTGAGGAGCAGGGACAAAGAACACCAACACTGGGAAGAGGACATGTCACGGGAGTCGGGAACGCATTCAGGTTTTATTGTTATTTTCCATCCACTGTAAATAAACGCACTGCTTGCATTCACAGCTCCTTCCTCACATTCCCACAGTTGGCCAGCGTCAACTGTGACGGTCTGTCTCCCGAATCCAAACTGGAAACTGGTTTCACAGAACAGGGGCCTGAAAACTGAAGGCTCTTCTTCCAATTCTACTTTTAAATACTCTAGGAACAATAAATAAGCCTGCAGTGCGAGAGCGGAGTGATCCAATGGGGTGATATGGTACTTGACCTTGTGTGTGAATAGCAGGACTTTGAATTAAATTCTGGATTTAACAGGGAGCCAATGAATGGAAGCCAATATAGGAGAAATATGCTCTCTTTCTAGTTCCTGTCAGGACTCTTGCTGCAGCATTTTGGATTAACTAAAGACTTTTCATGGGTTTTTAGTACATCCTGATAATGATGAATTACAGTAGTCCTAGAAGTAATAAATGCATAAACTAGTTTTTCAGCGTCACTCTGAGACGGGATATTTCTAATTTTACAGATCTTGTGCAAATGGAAGAAAGCAGTCCTCCATATTTGTTTAATATGTTCATTTGAGGACATATTCTGGTCACAAATAAAAATCACAAACAAATAATAATAATCCCATCCAGAGTATCTCCAAAAGTTGATTCTATTCATCTGGACGTAGCGTTTTCAGTGGGAGAAATGTTTCGTCACTCATCCAAGTGACTTCTTCAGTCTCAGCTGACTGCAGGTTTTCCTAATCTTATAAACAGTAAATTTGCATAATGACTGAACCTAGCACCACTGAAGGATCAATGGGCTGCGAGGTCAGTTCCTTCATCATAATTATGGAAATTCTCATGACCATTGATCAACAACCACTGATCAAAGCCCACTGATTAATGGCCATGAGTACCATTCACAGAGTTGGGGAATGGCTGCAATCACAGCATTGTAAGACGGCGAAAGATGTACCTTTAGGCCCCCTCCTCGATTCAGAGATTGTCTTTCCCTTTTCACGTAAATCGCCTCCTTGACTCCGCGCTCAAACCAGTGTTTATCCCAGATGTCTTAGCATATGTGAGCATAAACGCCCTTTTACAGCAGATGGAGCATGTGTTGCTAATGCTAACTGCTAACTAAAAGCCAAGGATCCAGAATTTGTTGCGCTGGCTGCTGAGCTCTGTGAGTTTTTGCGACAGCTCTATGTGTACTAGATGCGCCCGCTCCTTGTCGTTTCTATCTCTGACTTTATGTCCTCTTCTAGAGTTTGTGTTGTGTTATCTTCAAATGTTCAATAAAAACATGTATTGCTGGCATATAAAAGGACATTTATTCTTCCAGGACCTGAAGTTCAGTAAAGCACCCCTTCAACAGCCAAACCCATCTGTTCTCTGGCACAAAAAGTAGAACTGAGTAAACTGTGTGTCGGTGTGACATAGTGCAGAAATAAATATACGGATTTAGCTGGCAAAGAATTTAGACCTGAGCTACAACAAACACAAATCTTTTTTTTTTTACCACACACACACACACCAAATTTTCACATATTTTGATTTACAAGGTTACAAAAACTCAGTACACAAATATGCATTTGTTACCCGCTTTAAGGTGCGCATTTAAGAGTTATACTACAGAGTACTTTAAGAGTCAAGTACTTCTGATTCTTCTCTTTTCACATTAGCTACAGTATCCAGAGTCGTACGTAGTGAGGAGGTAAAATTATTAACAAGATAATCGACCTCTGTTGGAGTAGCATTCAGGTAGCTGCTCTGCGTTGGTAAAGGGCATTAAGGATAACAACAGTGGGTGAATTATATTCTTAAAACCTTGTTACAGCACTTTCAGAAAGACATCTACTTTGACGAAATCTACTCACCACTGCTGTGTAATCAATTATTGTAAATTTATATGTTATTGGGAAATGATCAGACGAGAGGGTTTAAATGTTCAGTTTCTATGCCATATGTCAAAACAAGATCTAGAATGTGAGTAAAGGGTTGGGTGGGTTCTTTTACATCTTGAGAGAACTGAGTCTAATCACAGATTGAATGCCATGTTGAGGCCTGTTAGTGTTGGAAGCAAAAGCATCTGGACTTTAAGTTTCGTGAAGACATTTCACCTCTCATCAGTTCTAAGAGCAATTGATGGAGAGTCCCAGATTTTTAAGCCCTATTCGGAGTGTCCCTGAGAGGGTCAAGGAGACCCAATTGATTCCCTACCTAATCACACAAGCCAAGGTGTAAAAACGGGTGTGGGTCACAATCAGCCAGGGTTTCGGGTGAACCCATTGAGAGACCTTGCCCCACCCTATCATGTGATTTACTGAGGTCACATTGCCCAGGATATGAGTGGGCGTTAAGTTATTGTCTGGAACCGTCTTCTGACCTTTCTTGAGCTCAAGAGCTAAAGAGAGATTAGAACATCCACCAAGCCGGGCATTTTAAAATCATGGTCAAACTTACACTTCTCTATATTTCATAAACATGTAGCAAGACAAACACAACCCTGTGTATATTGCAGATATTCATCAACAGCTGGCCACACCCTCAGGAAGTCCACCAATAACATCACTACACAGGCCTTGTGCTGGAATCCAAAGGGTAAGACAGGAAGACCCAGAAACATATGGCACAGGGACACACCTATCATAGTGTTGTGTGGTTTGTGAAAAGCTTAATTTAAAATCAATAATTTATTTTCAAATTAAACATTCGGCACTAATAGGGAAAATTGTCAATTTTAAATTCATTTTAAATTGTCAACTATATTTAAAAAGTTTACAAAACAGATGCATTAATGCTGCTTATTGCAGTTTGTCTTTAGATTCTTCATGTGC